GCTGGGGGTGGGTGGGTGGGGGTGGGCCGGTTTGTTAGGACCGGAGCCTCTGCGGCTCTGCCCAGCAGTCAGTGCGGTGCCTCTCAGCCCGCCTGGACCAGCGACAGCAGCTTCATCACCCACTTCCCAGCATCCCAGCCCCCTCTGGGAATTGAAGAATCCTCACAAATCAAAATAGCAGGCAAAGAACAGCCTCTAATTGTTCTGCGTAAAAGAAGCGAAATTAGACGAGTCAGCTGTGGGGTTGAGACCGCCTCCCACACAGCTGTGATCCCGCACCCCGCTGAAGACAGACTTCCCGAGACTTGAAATTCTGCTGTCTCCGAGCAAAACTTCTTGCTTCTCCAGCCCCAGGACCAATGACAGCTATTTGGGGAGGGAGTGAGACAGATGCTGGCCCTGGAGGACAATGAGTGAGTCAGACCAAAAAAAAAAAAAACAAAAACAAAAAAAACAAAAAACTTCCCTTCATGAAGGAATAGCCTTAGCTGGTATGAGTTCATTCAGTCATTCAAAACACATTGAGGGCACTCAGTGTGCATTCATCAGCTCTCATGGCAACACCGCACATCCCGGGTGCCCAGGGCTGGGTGTGGTAGCAGGGGGTTTCTAGAGGGGTAGAGGCATGCAGTGTGGTTCCACCCTGGGGGGTAGAGTGGAGAGAGAGCACTGGTCTGGGAGTCAGGAGGTCTAAGTTCTTGCCTTGGCTCTGCCGCTTTTGCTGTGTGACCTTGGGTGAGTCATGCCACCTCCCTGGGCTTCAGTTTTCCTGTCTTTTCTCAATATGGGCTTTAGGCCACATAGTGTTTCTCAAACTTTAGAGCCCATAAGAATCATTTGGGGGTAGTGCTTGTTAAAGATGAAGATTTCTAGGGCACCTGGATGGCTCAGTCGGTAGAGCATGCGACTCTTGATCTCAGGGTCATGAGTTCAAGCCCCATGTTGGGCCTTGAGCTTACTACAAAAAAAAAAAAAAAAAATGACGATTCCCAGGCCTGGTTGTCAAAGATTAAGATTTAGTAGGTCTGGGGTGGGGTCTAAGAATCTGCTGTTCCAGGAGTTCTGAAGGGAGTCCTTGGACCACACTTCCATAAAATCACTTTCCCTCAATCTCTCAGGGCTCCTTCTGCTCTGAAATTTGAGGAGTTGCTTATGCAACCCTTCTTTCTCTGGGTGTCTCGCATCATTCTAGGGGCATGAAAGAAGTCCTTATCCCTGCCTTGGTGTACCTGTGTGTTTCTGCAGTGATCACACTGCACTGGGACAGTGTGTCCCAGTGCACGCAGCCTCCTCCAGGCTGTCCGCTGCCCAGCACAGGCCCTGGTACAAAGGGGGCCATGATGGAAATGGTGGCCGAACAAGGGGCCTGTGTGGTGCAGGTAGCCACAGAGCAGTGTCGAGCATGGAGGGGTGTTTCAGGTGCAGGAGGGCTCAGTTGCAGACCTCTGGCTTGGATACCTGGGCTCATGCCCTGGGTTGGATGTATAGGTGGGTCCAGCTGCTTGGGGATAAGAAGGTCTGGAGGGGACCACAGGAAGGACTGGGAGTCCCGGTCCACGGCAGAGGGCACCCCAGGAGGTGTAAGGCCCCAGCCAGTCTGCTAGGCAGAGCTCCTTCCTCAGAGCTGGCCAGTCATATTTCCAAAAGGTCAGTGGCAGAAGCCAGAGGGTCAGGTCACTCTCGTCTAGTCCCCAGCTTCATCCTTCATAGATGAAGAATAACTATCATATACTGAACACTTGCCGTGCTTTGAGCTCAGGGCTAAGTGCTATATCATCCCATTACATTTCACAACAACCATACGAGGTTAGTAAAACATCACTCCCCCCCGCCCCTTTTTTTACAGTTACAGGCACAGAGGCTTAGAGAGTTCACGTTACTAGCCCAGAGTCCTTCAGTTAATAAATAGTAGAAGTGGGGTTAGAACCTAGACCTGTTTTCCTCTGGAGCCCAGTTTTATTTTTAACCATGTTACTTAGTACCCCTCAGAAGATGAAGGGCTTTTCCTAAAATACCTTCTGCCAAAGTCAGCCACAGCCAGAGAAATCCTTTTGCATCTGCTGTAGTGAAAAGGGGTGATGCTGAGTCAGGTGGTTCAGGGTTCTACTCCCACCTCTGCCCCTGACCTTTTGCATGACCTTGGGCAAATCATTTCCCTCTCTGAGTCTTAAGTGAAACTGAAATCTGTGAAATGGGAACAATTACACACACACTTGTTTTGAAGGTACACTAAGATGAAGACAGCCACCAACATCTACATCTTCAACCTGGCCTTGGCAGATGCACTGGCCACCAGCACGCTGCCCTTCCAGAGTGCCAAGTACCTGATGGAGACATGGCCCTTCGGGGAACTGCTCTGCAAGGCTGTGCTCTCCATTGACTACTACAATATGTTCACCAGCATCTTCACCCTCACCATGATGAGTGTTGACCGCTATATTGCCGTCTGCCACCCCGTCAAGGCCCTGGACTTCCGCACACCCGCCAAGGCCAAGCTGATCAACATCTGCATCTGGGTCCTGGCCTCGGGTGTGGGTGTCCCCATCATGGTCATGGCTGTGACCCGCCCCCGGGGTGAGTGAGGGCGGAAGTTGTGGTCCAGGGCCACTGACCACAGGAGGCAGCATGGGGGCCCCTGTGGGTTTGTAGGCCACTTGCTAGAGTAGGTGTGGGTGGTCCACACTGGTAGAGGTGTGGATTCTGATCAATGAAAAGTGTGGCTGGCTGGCCAGTGAGAGTGTGGGGAGTCAGCCAATGGAATGTGAATGGTTGACTGTTGTGAGGATGAATGATTCATCAGTGGTCAGATGGGTTGCTGGCCAAAGGAAATGTATGAATGAGACTGTGGAGGGTTGGGCTGTGGGCGTAGCTGCTGGCCAGGAGTTTGTGGATGACTGACTCAAGGGGATATAGATGGATGGCCAGTGGGGCGAGGGTGTCACTGACCAGTGAGTCATGGAGGCCATAAGAGCTGCAGTCTCATCCCAAATGCCCTTCCACCCCAGTGTAAAAACCACTGGCCCAGATGACCAAGGCAAGCCTTAGAGAATATCCTGCAGAGGACGACAGGTGCATTTGCTCAGAGTAAGAATGGTCGTTAATATAGTAGCTACCTGTATCAGTCAGGGTAGCAGCTGTAACAAGCAATCTCCAGAGTTCAGTGCTGAACAGTATAGAGGTTTATTTCTCACTCACAGTCTAACGTGAGTCAGAGGAGAAGCTCGATTCCACAGTTCTTCAGGGACCCGGGTGCCAAACGATGGTTTTGGAATCTTCCACCGCTGGCATTTGGCCAGCAGATGAATTCAGAGAAGGAGTGATGAGAGAGCATGACCAACTTTGAAATGTTATGGCCCATCCCTTCCTAGTGATAACTGGTTACATGGCCCCACCTTGACATAAGGAAGTGGGACAGGGAGTTTAGCAGGGTGCCAATGACACTCTCTGAGCCACAGTGTATCATGGGGCATTGAGAAGTTTACAGGAGGCTAAATGTGTAAAATACTTAGGACAAGGCAGGGATGCCTACCTCTATTTGACCGTAAGAACATCCAGAATCAGAGAGGTCAGGCGGTTTACTTAGGGTCATGTGGCAGGCATTGGCGGAATTTGGCCTACAACCCAAGGCTCCTGCCCTCATGTCTGTTACTCCTATTGGCCCCTGAGGAGGAGGTTTGCAGAGGGTCCGTGCTGTGGGTTGAAGGGGAATAGGCTTGGTGGGAGGCCTTTTGACCACCCTTAACCCCCACAGAGGTAGAGCGCCTGTGCTCTCATATAGCTTCTGAGCAATTGGTCTTGACTCAGCAGCTGGGCCCCATTCCACACTGTCAGCCTTCAGTTTTTGGGCCATTAACTGCAGCCCTGCTGGGGGCCGGACCAGATGGGTCTCCTCACTCCACACTCCATCCCCTATACACACTCCCCCACTCAGCACTTGTTGGTTCTGTATGTAACTTGCCATGTGACCTTGGACAAATGCTGGTCTTCTCTTGAGCCTTGTTCCGGCATCTGCACAATGAAGTCCTTGGACTCAGCCCTGGGGGTCCTGCCATCCTGCTGTCTGGTGGACCCACTCTGTGGATCCCTAGTACCCTTCCTACAACTCTCAGGCTCCAAGTCCACTGCGTGGCTCCCTCAAAACCCGAAGTTCCAAGAGATCTTTGGAGTTCCCCAGGTCAGTTGCAGGTCTGTGTCTGAATCCCAAAACATCCCTAAGGTGCTCATCCAGCCCACACCCACACTCCAGGAACAGGGAACTCATTCCATCCTGGGTGCACCTCTGGACAAATCTGGCAGGCAGGAAGTTCTTCTTGCCATTAAGCTGAGATCTGTCTCCCTGACCCTAGCCCTGACTTTTGGACTCCTAAATGTATCTGCCTCTCTGTCCTGTGAGTGCACCAAGAGCTTGAACCCCCCTGTGCTAAGTGTTTCACATGCCTTAGCCCATTGAATCCTCACAACCCTGTGAGGTTTAGGTACTGTTATTAGTCCCACTTAATGGAAGTTCTCCTGGAGGCTGAATAATTTGCCCAGGGTCACACCACACAGTTAGCAGGGCCCAAGTTTTGCTCTTAACTCATCATGCTTTCTAGATCTGTCTCAGCAGTGTTGTCCTCATTGGAGCTAGTCTGGAAATGGGTAGGGTGTTTTGAGTTCTCACAATGACTGGCATTTGGTGGGTTTGGGCTAAATTATATCATTACTGCTGTCCATGGATGTAGAGGCTTCTAAAGGGACTGGAAGAAAATATAGAAAGGAGACCTCCTGGATTAGGGCCAATCCTGCTGGGGTCTTTAAGGATGAGTAGGAGTTCACCAAGTACAGAAGTGTAGGAGGACATTCTGGGCAGAAGAATCACCTTGAACAAAGGCCAGAAGGAGGTGTGGTACCTGACCAAGCCAAGAAGGGTGGTGAGCAGGCAGGGTCACTTAGGTCCACACGCTCCTCACCTGCTGTCTCTCCTTGTTTCCCCGGCAGACGGGGCAGTGGTGTGCATGCTCCAGTTCCCCAGCCCTAGCTGGTACTGGGATACGGTGACCAAGATCTGCGTGTTCCTCTTCGCCTTCGTCGTGCCCATTCTCATCATCACCGTGTGCTACGGCCTGATGCTGTTGCGCCTGCGCAGCGTGCGCCTGCTGTCGGGCTCCAAGGAGAAGGACCGCAGCCTGCGGCGCATCACGCGCATGGTGCTGGTGGTGGTGGGCGCCTTCGTGGTGTGCTGGGCGCCCATCCACATCTTCGTCATCGTCTGGACGCTGGTGGACATCGACCGCCGCGACCCGCTCGTGGTGGCCGCGCTGCACCTGTGCATCGCGCTCGGCTACGCCAACAGCAGCCTCAACCCCGTGCTCTACGCCTTCCTCGACGAGAACTTCAAGCGCTGCTTCCGCCAGCTCTGCCGCACGCCCTGCGGCCGCCCGGAGCCCGGCAGCTTCAGCCGCGCCCGCGAGACCACGGCCCGCGAACGGGTCACCGCCTGCACCCCGTCCGACGGTCCCG